GACCTATACTCACTTGTTTTTGCTTTTTTCCTTTTCTCATTAAACTTCTGGAGGGTGGGCTGGGTCTATGTAGCTCAGGCTGACTCTGAACTCACTATGAAGCCCAGGATGGCCTGGGATTCTCAGCAATCCTGCTTCAACATCTGAGTGCTGGGATTATAGCTGTGCACCACCATATCTGGTTTAAACTTCAATGAGTCTCAAAATTCTGAGACAGAGTTTTGGTCAATTTGTTCTTACTAAAAAGTACTGATTTTAAAAACAGTAACTTAAAACACACACAAAGCCCCATTGTCTATAAAATTTTCTCCTTTCCTTCTGAACAATTTATGATAACACTTATCAATAACTAGTCTTTTACTATTAAACTTAAGTGGCCAACTGAGACAAACAGTGTTCAGATCTACTTTGGCTTTTAGTAAGATTTTAAAATTCAGCCAGGCAGATTACAGGCACTCAGGAAGCTGAGGCAGAAGGTCTGCCACAAGCTTGAGGCCAGCCTGGACTACCTGGTGAGTTCAAGGTCAGCTGAACTACCTGGTAAGACCCTGCCTGAACAAAACAAAACAAATTTAAAATTTTTCTCCATGAAGTCTAGCATCTCTCTTTTAAAATCTCGTATTTTGCTGTCCTGGATTATAACTGGATTTCTAAAAAAGAATTCTCTTTTTTTTTTTTGTCTTTTTCGTTTTTATCAGTACCAGGGATCGAACTCACGACTGCCTGCTTGCAAGGCAGGCGTTTATGCCGCTGAGCTAAATCCCCAGCCCCAAGAATTCTCATTTTTTATAGAGAAATGTTATCAACTTTGGAAGTCAAGATTTCTAGCACAGACTGAACAGATGCTGCAATAGCGGGTATCCTGCTCATTTCTGGGTTTCTTGATTTATTTTTGTATTGTCTTTTTTGACACAGGAACTCCCTATGTGATCCAAGCTGGCCTCAATTTACAATCCTCCTTTCCCACCCTCCTGAGTGATGGCACAAGAGTGGTGTGCCACCGTGCCTGAATTATGGGTGTTTTGCTTTCTTTTTTGAACCAGGATCCTGTAACATCAACCAGAATAATCTTGAACTCACTAGACAACCCACGTTGGCCTTGAACTCAAGGCCAGGCTCAGCCTTCTGAGTGCTGGAATTACAGGTGAGTATCATCAGGCCCAGCTTTGTTTCTGAGTTTGTTTTTGTTACTGGGGGGCAGGGGTTGGATCCAGAGCCTTTACACTAAGCAACATATCCCCAGCCCTTTAGTTTTTATTTTTAGACAGAGTCTCAGTCATCCAGGCTGGGCTCTTACTTGTAATCTAGAGTACTGGGATTACAGGTGTGCACCATTAGGCCCACTTATTTCTGATTTTAAAGGACTGTTATAATTTGACTGCTACTATATTAACTCTAAGTTTTCTACAAATACTCCATCAGTTAAGAAAGTTTTGTTTGTTTGTTTTTTCTGGACACACATGGTGACACACACCCACATACCTATAATCCCAGCTTCTTGGGATGCAAAAGGCAAGAGGGTGACAACATTGAGACCGGCCTGGACGATTCATTTGACACTCTATCTTGAAATCCTAAAAAGGTATAGGGATACAGCTCCATGGTAAAGTGCTAGACTAGCAGTCATGAGGCCCTGAATTCAATCCCTGATATCAAGAAAAATAAAAAAGAAATTTTTTTAACAGTTTGTCAGATGCCTTCCCTCCACACTGTTACCCTTTAAATATTAATGAGCATTAAACCCAGGGCACTGAGTTTTGTTTCCATATTTTTCTAAGACATGGTTTTGCTAAATTGCCTAAGCTGGCCTTTAACTGGTCATCCTCCTGCCTCAGCCTCTTGAGTAGCTAGGATTTCAGATGTGTATCACCATGCTAACTGCTTATCATGATTAAAGCTGAAGGCAACTGAATGTTCTTTCTGCATCTATTACTGCAAACACATATCTTTTCTAGTTTGTGCATTTTTTTCTAATACTGACACAACCTCTCATTCCTAAAGCAAAGCCTGTCACCAAGACTTTCCACTTAAGGAATAAAAGTGGTAAAATAATATCAAAATAGAAACTACCTACTTTAAACTGTGCAGTACAGTACAGTGGTGCACATCTGTAATCCCAGATACTCTGGAGGTTGAGGCATAAAGACTGAAAGTTTGATGTCAACCTGGGCAATTTAGTGAGATCCTGTCTCAAAATAAAAAACAAACTACCTGGAGATTTTGCTCAGAGATAAAGTGCTTGCCTAGCAGGTGCAAGGCCCTGAGTTCAATCCTACTGAAAACAACAATGAAACACCATACAATGCTAACAAAACAACACACCGTACAATGCTAATCCTACTTCTTTGCCTCAAGATCCTGTCTCTGCACATTGTTCTCACTCCATCGATGCCCTGTCTTGAGCTGTCAGAGCACATCCTCCTACTGATGTCCATTCAATGCTTGGCATGTGTTATTTTATGCATCCATCTACCAACTAGAAAATGTGCCTATTAAAGGGCAAAAGCCTGTAATCTCATACTCTGAGAGGCTGATGCAGAAGGATTATGAGCTCAAGTTCAACCTGGACAACCTATCAATTTAGCAAGACTATCTCAAAATAAAGCAATTAAATTAAGAATATTAAAAAGAGGACCAGAGATTTAGCTCAGTGGCATAAGCACCTTCCTGGCAAGCGCAAGGTCATGAATTTAATCCATGGTACAAATATATAGATATAGTGCTAGGGATGTAGCCCTGTGCAAAATTCCCAGTTCAATGCCTGACACTGCATAGAAGGAAATTTTTTTTTAAAAAAGAAGAAAAAAAGAAAGAAGAAACCAACCAAGCACACAATAAATCCTTCACTAAAGTGCTTGTGGGGGGAGAAATAAAAAATCAAGTCAGATACTAATGTGCTAGTCTTAGGTAAATGGGACTTCTGGATATGAGTTTTCTAGGGAGCTCCAGTTTTAATCTCTTAATTTTCACTGAAACTTTAAAGTCATGATAAATTGGACTCACATTTCACTGCCTTGTTAACCCAGTATTCTGAACACGCTACATACATTTCTTAAAGTGAAACTCAACTCTTGCTGATGTTGAGGACAATTATTTAGGAATGTGATACTGTGGCAGACATACAGCAGTGGATTTACACTGTAATAGATGCAAAACCTCAGCCATAGCCCTAAACAAGGCTTTCACAGGGAAAAAAGTGAAACCGCGCGTGCGGGCGCATGCAGGCGCGTGCACACACACACACACACACACACACACACACACACACACACACAGAGGTATTTTCCCCCTTCAGCACTGACCTCTAGCTAACTCTCAGCAGTTGTTTTCTCCTCTACTCTTCCCATTCTCTGACTCTGGAATTACATAATGTAGCACACACAGTAGGGCCCCACATTTCTATCTGTGAAACAGTTTCCATTTCTCCAAGGATAATCTTCCTACTTGTTTGTCCACTGTGGACTCTGAACTTCTCTGTATCAGTTACAAACTAACCTCTAATTTCTAGAGGTTAGCAGTGACTAAAAGTAGACTGTGGAATCAGGATACCGGTTTGCCAAAGCCCAATTTGGCACTCAGAGTCGAAAATTCTAATGCTGAGTCCCTTGATCTCACTATTCTTCAAATTCGTCATCATGAAAACAAACATGACACATTTACCTCTGAGGTATGTTATGAGAATTAAATGCTTGAAACATGGTCTAACGTAATATTAAATAAATGGACAAAAATACTATTAACTTGAACTGTTTTTTTTTTTTTTCTCATCTCTTTCTCAAAACTGCTCCAGCATTTCTCACTTTGGGCTATGGTGATGGTGTTCTTTACCGAAGTGTGTGTGGGGTGGCGTGGGGCTGCACCATTTCCACGGGGCACTCCCTCCCAGTAGTCGGTGTCTCCATCAGCAGGCAGGGGAAGAGGGTCGGGGAATATCAGGTGTATTCACCACTGCTCCAGCCATGTTCACATGCACGTGAAGAAAACAAGGCTGCTTATTCAATCAGTGTAACAAGACTCTAGGGATATGTGTGATTGTTCTTTTCAAGCATTTGCAAAGCTAGACTGGAGAAAAGGCAGCAATTCTATGGAAGCGCTACTGCCCACCCACCACTGAACGTGTTCAAGCAGGCTGTTGGTGGCCAGGTGTCAAGAGATATTTGTAAGAAGGAATTTAGAGTTAGATAATTTAAGATTCCTTCTACCTCTAAAATCGTTGTACTCCTGGTGTGAGTCACCAAGATGTTACAACCCAGGTATGAGTCACACATCGCCAAGGCGCTGCCAAAGGCACTGTATTCTTCACTCCCACAGTTGCTGGCACCGTACCATAAAGCTAGGCGCGGAATTCTGGCCCTCGGGCTATGTATACCTCAGCAGAGTAACAAAAACCGTTTTTAAACGAAGCTGATTTATGATGACCAGACTTGTAATGACCGACAAAACAATAAGGCATATATCCTAACTGAGACTTGGCAAAAAGGGATGCATCCACATTAACAGTGGGGCGGTTCTTCGCATCGCTCTTTGGCCCGACTCACGCGGGCAGAAGCAGGCAGGCACAGGGGTGGGTCAGGGTGGCCGGGGTGAGTGGGAGCTGGGTGAGCCCACACTGGCGCAGCAAAGGGACAAAGGCCTCCGGAGAGCACGCTGGACTCGGAAGCTGGCAGGAAGGCCCCTGCTATACTGGAGCCAGTGGTCTGGGGTCTGCCCGGGATGTGAACGGGCCACGGCAGCCCGCAGACCAGAAGCAACTAGCAGGGCCTCGGGTGCCAGCAGGGCCCCGGAGTGCCCGCCCCGCGGAGAGGACGCGGCCGGCCGGGTTGAGGGCGCTGCAGCGCGAGGCGGGTCAGGGTGCTGGACGCGCAGCGCACCTGCCAGGCTGCCCGGCCTCGCCGCCTCCCCGGGGTTCAGCCCCTGGCCGCCGCCGCTGCGCCCGCGTCGAAAGTGGGGCAGCGGCCGCCGCCATCGCCGCCACGCAGGGGAGCGCGGGGCAGCTTTACCTGGGAAACCAGCGGGAGCAGCGTCTGCTCCACCGAGCGGGTTTTGATCTCGAGTCCCGAGTCGAAGGCGAAGCCCGACGGGCTGGAGCCGCGGGCTGCTCGAGCGCCCGCAACGCCGGCAGGGCCGGGAGACGCAGCCATGGCCCTCGGGCCTCGCGCAGCCCGCTCCGCGCTCTCCTGCCGGGCCGCACGCACACCCGCCAGCCAGCCAGCCAGCCAGCGCGCTGGTCCGCGGCGGCCGCGCTGCAGCCGCACCGCCCAGAGCCCCGCCCCGAAGGCCCCGCCCACCACGGGCGCCTCCGCCTAAGCCCCACCCCCAGCCTGGCCCCGCCCCCAACGGGACCCCGCGATCGCCGACCCCGCCCCTTTCTCCTCCGGCGGGGTACCCAGCCTCTCTCAAGGCGGGACAGCGGACACCCGAGCGCCTCTCACGGTCACGTGGCCTCAAAGCAGGAGTGGGACGAAAGTCCTCTGCAATCGTCCCTTAATGGGACTTGCTCTGAGTGAATTCTAAATTACTGCAGGTTTCTGGAAGCTGCGCTAGAGCTGAAACTGGCTGAGCAGAACCGGAGTCAAGGCTGTGGGGCGGGGCTTCGACCCTGGTAAGAATTGGGCAGGTATTTTTCTGGGGCTTCTCCTAGAGATCTGGCGTGTTAAGGGCTGTATGGCCTTAGACTGGGGATTCTCGGAAAGGTCCTATTTCCCCCTTCGTCTTTAGTTTCTGAGTATTTCTCACACTTTGAATTGAAAGTGAATCATTTATCAAACACTCCTATAAGAAACGATCTGATTACTCCACAAGAAGGTAGTGTATATTTCCAGCTGAGTTATTCTTCAAAAAATGTAAAACACAAAAAAAGTTGATTGTTGTTAGGCAAGTGCTCTACCAATGAGCTACATCTTCAGCTTCAATGATATTACTTTCTAAAATCACTTCTCTAGTGCCAGGCACACAGCGATTTCTTAGTAACCATTTGCTGAATGAGTACACTGTGTTTCTCACTGAAGTCACTTAGGGACACGCTAAGAATCACCTCTTGAAGGCACACCTTGAGCTTGCACAGAGCCACCCATGGCAGGAAAGAGTTAAGAGCACTCCTTTCTCTCAGGTCTCCAGAAGCAGAGCTAAAGGGGGCTGTCAGAAGCAGACACCACTCTGTAAAGGAGCTCTAGGTTTAAGCAATCCACTGAGAAGCATTTAGAAATGTTTCATGAAGAATGGTAGCTAGATGCCAATGAGAGTGTATGAGTCTGGCTAGCCCACTCTTACACCTCAGCCAGGATCATTTCTCCATCCATTGTGCCAGATTGCGGAGCCATAGAAGCTCTTTCCCAAGCACTATTGAGATACTCTTTGTAGTACTCCCACTTGCCAGATAAACTTTGTCTCCCAGAGCTGCAGACATCTTTGGTACTAAAGATACCCAAGTGTAGATCTATTTTCTTCATTCAAAAATATGGTTCTTAAACTCCGCAGTGGGGGTGGGGAGGAGGTGCTTGCTGGAAATGGAACTCAAGTCTTGGACAGGCTAGGTAATTTCTCTGCCAGTGGACGCTACATCTACAGCTCTTTTGAAGATGCTTCTTAATAGGCTGCCCAGGCTGGGCTTGAATTTGCAATCCTGGATCTGTCTCCTGACGACTTGAGACTACAGACATGCACTAGCATACCCAGCTCTGAACTTAATTACTTCCAAATCTCACTTCTCACCCATTATCATTCAAGCCACCATCCCCAGGGCACAAGACTGGGTCCAGGGTTCTAGTCCCTGCTGTAGATTCTTAGCCTCTTTTAAGGTACCTGGGATCCACTCAAGACAAACTTTCCTCACTTTTGACCAAATTTCCTAATTTATGGTAGGCACTGGTGCCAAAGGAAAAGGTAGTATATAAGACCTATGAGACAGATGTATCCATGAAACCTTGGCTAAAGACAAAATTTCTCAAGAGACAAAGGACAAGAGACTTAAATTACTGATTCATTCAACACTAGTAAACTTTATTTCAAAATATAAATATTCTACATTTTTCAAAGAAGTTACATCAGTAGGTTGTCAAAGCGAGTTAAAGGTAAGAAATGGTTGTGTAATAAATATTTGTCATATTCAAATATTCTTTCTTACTCAAAGCGTCTCTTCTTTACCTGAGAACGCAAAGATTATACAATTTCAACATTATATAATTACAACCACTGTCCAATATTAATTTCACAATCAAATGATATTTGAAATACACACCAGTCACTTAACCAAGTGGCACTCCAAAGAACAAAGAAGGGTTTTCTCTGGGAAAATTACAGTAAAAGTAATACTTTTAGATCACTATAATACAAAAGAATTGGTATTTCATAAGACAAAAAGATGTTGCTTCCATACCTTTCTCTGTTTTTGTTTTGTTTTTTCTTTTCTTTCTTTTTTTTCCTTTGGAGACAGAATTTCATTTTGTAGTTCAGGCTGGCCTCAAACTTGTGGCAATCCTCTTGCCCAGTGCTCAGCTTCGTGAGCACTGGGATTACAGGCATGTGCCACCACGCCTGGCTCACTGTACCTTATAAATCTATAACAGACCAGGTATAAAGAACTCTGGATCTGGAATCATACTCATGCAACCAAGTTCTGGCTCTATTCTTTTGTAATATAAATTTAGAAGGGAAAAACCAAACAAAAACAAAAACCACTAAAAAAAAGATGAGAAATACCCTTTCAGAGCCTCTAATGCTTTATCTGTGCAATGATTTATAATACTGCCTAGGCTCGCAGGGTTGTACCCAAAGACATCTGAAAATGTTAAAGAGCCATACAAAAGCATTATTAAAATCTTATCTCAATATATTACTATGGTATTTGCACATTAATTAATTGATCCTTGAAATATGTGCAAATTAAACACAAATAATGATTGTACACACCACAGGCAGAAAAGAACCTCTATACTTTTAAATATAGTTCTGAACCATAAATATGCTTTCTTGCTACTATCAAACTAAACAGTGAAATTTATTAGAGATTGCATGGTATCAGAGGAACAAATTCACCATTCGGTGATTCCACTGGGATATCTCTCCTAAAAAAAAAAAAAAAGTTGTAAACTTGATCAAGAGGTGTCTTTCCTAAAGGACATGGTCCCTTGAAACGCTCAGAAAAAAGGAGGAAGGGGGCACACTACAGCAAACCACAGTTTTTGTCCTTAGTATAGATTCACAATGGGTCATAATATGTTAAAAACTCTTAGAAGTCCCAGGGAAAGGAAACAAATTCACCATTCCTCAATAGGCTACACATGCGTGCACGTGCACATGTGCACGCACACACACACACACATACTTTTTTCTCTTCTATGTATTAACATCTCGTAGAATCATTGGTGTCAGAAACACATTTTGCCCAAAGCTGCTCAATTATGAGAAAAGGGAAAGAGAAGTTGAACGTGGATAAAAAGGAAAAGAAGCATTCAACCTATGAATTTTATAACTCTTCTATTATTAACTAGCTGTGTATGTCAAGCTCCTGTAACCTACAACTTTATTTCCTTCTCTGGAAAATGACAGGATCATTTATATATAAGGTACATTCAGGCACAGAACTTCTATGACTCTACTAGATAGACCATTTTGATTTATAATTCTCTTGATTACTTTAAAAGAGCTGCTGTGTGCCTTCAGATACATGTATTTTTCCAGGCTTTCAATAATCAATGATTTAATGAAATAAGTATTTATGATGGAAAAATGTGTAAAGATAAATTGATTTTTAAAAAGTACTTGTTTATAACTAGAATTAGCACATTGGGAAGATGTTGCTGGAAGCTATTTCTGGTATATACACTCAAAGTCCCATTTTAATACTGTGAAAGAGTCTTGCGGGACTCTCATAAACCTGCAGGTTGAAATCTTTGACAGCTCCCCTAAATTAATATGCACTAACTCTTCATGGTCTGGATTTCTGAACAGTTCTTGCCCAGCAATGACAGGCTCCTGAAGCCGTAATATGACGAAAGTGAAAGCCTCAAGTATTTGAAAGTCCACGTTACAAGGCTAACCAGAAGCCCTCGTTTGCAAGCCCTGTAGCAGCACTTTAACAAGAATAAATAGCTGCCATTTCCAAAGACTACAGAGTTTGTTTAATTATACAGTTCCCAAATACAGATACCCCATCTTGGGTGTCTTTCCACAGTCAAGAGTCAACCTACCCTAGCTCTCAGAACCTGAGGAAAAACTAGCAGTTAAACGCCTCTCACAAAGACAGTTTAGGAAACCTCAATTTTAGTATTTAAAACTGGCACCAAAGGCAGTTTAACAAAGATCCTTCCAGGAATACATTGTGGAATTTAAGCAGGACTTACATAATGTGGAATTTATGTTGAAAGTCCTATACCCTGTCTCTCAGAAAAGAGGGCTTTACCTGTGCTGGGCTTTAACCCTGCCCCCAACCATTTAGCTTTCAACTGAGTAGTGTGAACTTGGAACTGATCTTTAACTTATGGAATGCAAAATACTATGACATTTCTGTACTCAGTTTTTACTGAAGCTGCTTCTACTTCTTTGATGCATTGTCCAGCCGTAGGGAAACTTTCTCTTTCTGGGTCAAATTCTGATGCAGAGTTTAGGGCAGTTTATCTTGAGCTTAGGTCTCTAACTTTCCATACCATCTGATCTCCCAACATGCCCTATGTACATTCTGTAAAACCATTCAGTACCTGTGGATGCATGCCAGGGTGCTTCTCTCTGGCTTTGGCCTCCCTAGCTGGTAGACTGGTCCCTAGGGTCCTAGTCCTTAGGCAATGGAACAGTTCAAGTTTCCTGATCAGCACTAGGTACTGTGGGGCACTTCTATTCTTGCTGTGTCGAGGTGGTATCACATCACTGCTGCTATCCGCTCACAGGGCTTGCAGTTCCCCTCTAAGAACTTGGCATTCATACTAATACTTAGGCCAGCAACAGTCATACATAAGCTCAAGTTTAGTTTATTGCAATTTTACTTTACACAGCTTAAAGCACTTTGAAGAAACATAATTTGTATATGCATACTAATGCACTGAGTAAAATGTTTCTCTTATATGCTAATTATAGCTATAAATTTACCACTATGTAGTTAACAAAAACCTACTTCCTGTTTTAACCCTTTTAATGCAAAACACTCAAATTTAGTATCACACATGATCTGGCTAAGATTTCAGGTGAGAGAGGCCTGATATATTGTTATCTCTTACAGCACCCTGTACAGTCTTCGGCTTGGAGCTTGGAGTTTAACAAACTCTCAAGAAATGTGTTAATGAATTAATCACCAAATAACTGATTGAAGAAGAAACTAAGTTATTTAATGATCAAATGAACAGTTGACAAAGTAATAAATTATAAATGTTGAAGGACTCATATGAATAAAAGACTTTAATGTAGCATAATGTATAATAATAGTCAAAAGACATCATATAGCCTTTTCTAAATGGAGTTTTTCCTAAGTGACATAAAAATAAATTTAAGCTTATAATTAACTGTTTAACGAGACTGTTTGGAAAAATATTACTTCCCATCTTATTTATTTAGTCTTCTTTTTGCTTCTTTCTTTGTTCTTTTGTTTTTTGGCAAGTCTTGCTATATAGTTTGGCCTTGAACTCACTCTGTAGCCTAGGCTGGCCTCACACTCGCCACAATCCTCCTGCCTCAGCTTTCCAAGTGCTGGGACTACAGGCAAACACCACCATATCTGCCTATTTCTACTTTTAAATGTTCTCTTAAAGCACATTTCCCACGCCACGGTTCTTTAAGAACACAGGAAGTGCCTGCTGACTGTTTTGATCAGTGGAAAGGATATAAAAGAGCTGGGTTTAAGTCTCAATGGTATCATTAACTGTTCAATAAGTTTTCACTCATTACACACAGACAGCAACATCTATTCCAGCTCGCAGTATAGGAGAAACCGTGTAAAATCTTAGAACAAATGTTCTAAAGTATAGCAGAGCTTCCAAATCTCACTAAATGTGTGACTCTTGCTGAACACTAGGGTTTGCCACCAGTGTGAAACTTTGTAAAGGAATAGACACCTACATTAAAGTAGATTTGAAGAGGTCATGCCCTACTAAGCACAAAAGGACTGCATAAAATGTAAAGCATTATGTTGGTTAGTGTAATATATGAGACATTGTACAAGTTACAATTCAATTCAGCAAGCATCCATCTTGAGTCCTATGAGCAAGGCACTGTGCATAGTTACAGAAAATACAAGATACTATTAAATACCTAAGTGGTGGAGCTCCAAATAATACGGATACATTGAACAAATCAAGAGTACCACTATACCTGAGATTTTTACCTAAAATATTGAAAAGAAAAATGTAATGATGGGGCCAGGGATTTAGCTCAGTGGCATAAGGAAGGTTGTGAGTTCAATCCCCAGTACCACAAAAAAAAAAAAAAAAAAAAAGAAAAACTAATGATAGCATGAATAATATCATATTGTTATCATTTGTTATAATGTGGTCAGCCAAGGTTTAGAATTTTGGCAATACTGTAATAATGAGGCATGAGGGAGGTGGAGGGGGAAGCTTCAGACTTTGTCTCTGGTTGCAGCACACAGGGGAACATCAAATAAGTCACACCACTCTTACACCTAAGGTTTGTTCATTGTCAAAGAGGGAATGGCACACTGTGCTAAAAGGACAGAGGGTTCATTTTTCCTGCTCACATAACTACATACTCTGTTGAAAAGTGTCATAGAAAAGGCTATAAACATTTCATAAAGCAAAGAAAATTATATCGTATATTCTTTTTAACAGCAGTTTACAGTTCTTAAAATAACTTTATAAATACATATCATAATAACAGATATAAAGTGGAACAATGTCAACCCATGGTACCAGTGTATAAACTGAAACTTTTCAAGCCATCTTAGTCATAGTTAAGTGAGCGAACACATATTTGAACTCTCAAGCTGTATTTTAAAATGCAATATGCCCACAGCAAGTTCTCTCTTGTCAAGGATTCTGTAATAAGGCCAAGATCTTCTCCTTTTCTGGCCTCTGCCTTCCAGGCACAGCTGCAAGAACAGAAGGCCCCAGCTGAGCTGCACTCACTGTCAAGAGGGAACTTCCTAGAGAATCACCACAGGGAAACCATGTCAGTCTGCTGAAGATTTCAGATCTTCAGAGATGTCGTGGAAAGTCCTAAAAGGAGAAAAAATGGAATGATTAGTCTTGCCTTTGGAAAAAGGGGTAGAGGGCAATGAAGCATCAAGGAAAAGAGGAAGGAAGTTGGGAGAGAGGGAGAATGTAATCGGTTACGATACAGTGGTACCTTATTTTTATAATCTTTGAGAACCTAGATGAGATTATAACCACTATTTTTTCTGAGTTATTTCAAAATCTGTTACTCATCATTGTTTACTAACAAAAGACCCTATTTTCTGTTTGTTTTTTGCTAAGTCTATTACTTCCCATCTAAAAAGACTATTTCCCCAAAGTTCCTTGAAACCACACTTGACCATGTGCCTAACTTTTGGCTAGTAGAGTAAGATGTACATGGAACTGCTGAACCATATCAGGGAAGTTTCTTTACAGTAAAGAGCAATCTTTATTAGCTCCATCTTCTTAGTGGCTATAAAAGTAGATCTCATAATGATAAGCATAGCATAAGAAAAGCATACTGTGTGATCAAAGATTAAATTCTGACTGGGTAAGTTTTATTAGAAAATTAAGAAACAGGATCCAGCAGTAGAGTCTGAGCTTTGAAGGGTGTTAACTCATGGCGGAGAAACGGGGTTCATCTTTTCATCAAATGACTTACATTGGTGTCTAAGGTACATCATATAAGCTAAGTGACTGTGGCTTACTGGAAGGTTATCAGTATCTGAGGTGTGTGCCTACCTCATAAGTGTGGTAACTCGCCTGCCTAGAAAGATAATTTGCATGCCTGAGCTGCAACACTCCTGACCAGGTATACATCTCTACTGGCAGTCAGGTGACCCAGTCAGAAGTTGTTAGTGACTATGAGTTTCCAGCATCCATCTCAGAGTGGGGTCTCACATCAAGGAATGAGGAGAGCGTGGGTCTGGCCCAGATGTCTGTGGAAACAGCCTAACCCTTCATTGCTTCTCTGGGCTTCCCTCTTCCAAGTGAGAAATAAGCATCTAGGTTATACAAGTCACTGTTACTTTTAGTTCTGTAGATAGTGGTGATTTTGACTTTTTGTTTGTTTGTTTTTTTACATACAGCCACACCTATCTTTTTTTTTAGCCACGCCTATCTTAAATGATACAAAGAAGTTAATAACCATCCTTTTAGACTAAGGTTACACTGCTCCTTTAAAATAATGTCACCAATTAGGAATACGATAAGAGAAAAAAACCTTGAAAGATTTCAAATTTTCAAAACAATTTTAATATTTTAGATTCATTTGTGGCCACAACACTATGGCATATTGTCTTTCTTTGATTTTTTTTTCCTCAAAACTAATTTTGTTTTCACACCAATGACCCAGTACCGATGACTGTAAAGAAACTGCTCAACTTTTTTCATTAGAAACAAAGTTAACATAAAGTGCTGTGTTCCAAAACTTCAGGGTAAAGTTTTCAGCTGCAGAAACAAAAGATAGCAGAAATTTTCATAAGGCACAATCATCTAAAAAAGCAGAGAGCAAACAATCTCAACTTCAAATGTAATTCCACAATCATTCCCCCTCCCTGACTCCTTTGGTCCTCTTGATTTTCAGTTCATACAAATAAGTAGGAGGGTTAGACAGGCAGAGCAGTGATAAATTAAAGACTAACCCTTTGTTGTGGCGCCATGTAGAGAGTACTTCAAGGTCAAGAACAGCACAAGTAAAATGTTACAGAAAGAGATTACGCTGCCGGGAGGTCAGTTATCTCAAGGCTCTTCCTAGGACGGTGCCCTAGCCCTCTATGCCTCTGAAGCACGACGGAATTGCCAGCTGTCAGAGAACAACTCTGAGAAGCGATGTGCTTCCCGGGTAGGGTACACAATGCTGGCTGTAAGCACTCTCTGACAGTCTGAATTTCAGGTAGCACTCAATTCTGGAAAGCCCTGGAAGAATTTTACAACCAATAACCAAAAATTAGCCAACACTACAAAAGTATTTTTTAACAGCCAGTAAATTTCTTAATTCATCCTTTGACATCTCTTGAGACATTTGCAAGTCTGAATCTGTAACTATTCATTGCTTTTAAATTATGAATGGGACTTCTACCTTAGGGCACAGATGCATGAAATCAGATTAACACTGTGGTTAGCCTAGTGACTACTTTCAGTTGATAAGTGAGCTTAGCTGTAACCTTGAAATTCATACCTACTGTTCTATGTTGCCTCTACGCCAAAAAAGATGTAGAAGCTTTCAGAAGAAAATAAGGGATAACAAGCTTTGAAAACAGTCCTGAGAATTTCTGCCCTTCCTTAATGTCGTATCCTGGTCTACAGGGTTGTTGTGGTGGTAGTGGTGGTGTGTGTTTAAGCCCTACTAAAGTAACACTGCTCTTTAATGGAACCTCTATCTATGAGAAGAACATCCATAACTTAGAGATATAGAAATGATTTGCTTCTGTACTACTCAGGATGTATAACTAATCAATCAGAAAGCTCATACAATTAACTCTCTGGATTAGGAAAAAACAGATAATCAAAAAAAAAAAAAAAAAACAAACAGATAATCACTGCATTGTTGAGCTGGGGATATAGCTCAGTGGTAAAGTGCTTGTCCTAGAATATGTGAGGCCCTGGGCTCCATACCCAGCATCTAAATAAATAAATGATATATCTAATGTCTTATTTAAATCTCCTGTAAACACAGTATTGTTTCCAAACTCTACAGACTACCTGGTTCTAAGTAACACAGCTGTAGAATTTCACATCTAAGAACAGGCAATGTAAGTGGGACCCCATGTGGTTCGAGATCTGAATAGAAGACTTCTGTTAACACTTTACGTCTCCTCTAGGAATCTTGCAGAACAGTCATCCCTTGCTCCTTGAAAACATTCGCCCTACTCATCCTCTATTGGATATTTAAATATTTTCTGATTTAACAATTCAAGACTTGTTAAAGCCTATCCCCTGCCCTACCCTCAGTGGTGCAGAGTAAATTTTGAACTTCTAAAAATAAAACACTTTAACAGACCAACTTATTTAGTTGGTTCCATGAAGTTGAATATGCATTTCCTAACCCTACACAGCACACAGGTAACAGACTCTAGGACAAAGCATATGCCATCCCTGTTAAAATACACCTAGCTTTCCAACAAATTTGAAATGAAGTCCTAAGCTGAGGCTTACTATGCCTTATCCTCTTTTATCAGCCTCAAGGTTATATTACAATAATATTTAGAAAATCTGACCTGCTTCTGGTTTTACTAACCTATTAACTCATTAGATGGTTCACTGAGCATTTTTGTACCAAACGCCTTGAAGGAATGATGCAGTAGTCCTAAACAAATTAGATATAGCCCCTAACTTCAGAAAGGTTACTAACTAGTGAGAGAGACAGTGAATTAAACACATTTAGAAAATATGGGAGTCCGCATGGTGGTGCACAACTCTAATCCCAGCACTCGTGAGGCTAAGGCAGGAGAATCACCATGAGTTCAAGATCAACCAGGGATACATAGCAAGTTCAATGCTAGCCTGAACTATATAGAAGGTTCTGTCCCCTCCCCCCAATAAAGTAAAATAAAGTGAAAGATACACATTGAGTTCTAACAGAAGTACAAGATGTTAAAGGTACACCATAACAAGAATTTATACCTATCCTGGAGGATTTCTGTAATGTTTCTCAAAGAAGGGTATTTGCGTACAGGCCATGAAACAAGACTTGGTTAGAAAGGAGAGTGGCCTTTTGTATAGAGGGCACAACTGCAATGATTACAATGACTTCAGTAAACTAATCCAAATTCAATATGGCTGAGAAACAAAATTCTCTAAGATAAACTCAGAGAAGCAGTTAGAAAGAGGATCAGGGAAGCAAGATAAAAGAAAGGGAAGGAGGATTAGTGAAGAGCCTGCTCAAGAAATTCTGCTATGGGCCATCCACTGGAAATAAAGAACATCAGCAAATTCAGAAAATTTTTACACAACGTAAGTTTAAAGTCAGTGTCATGGTTTATGTCGGTGGCCCCAGGCCTCATGCCTTTCTATTATGCATTTGTGATTGGTTCATTGTCTAGCTTGGATTGATGGTGTCAGTGCTACACCCACATAGGGGTGCAGCCAGCATACAAGGTAATGGCAGGAAGAAGTCGTGTCTCTCTCTCTTGCCGGTTTCCGACTTGTAGTTCTGCCATAACTGCAGCCCCGCCATGCCACCCTACCTTGGAGCCAACTGAGTATAGACTGAAACCTCCAAAAACTGTAAGAAATAAACCTTTCCTTTCCTAACTCTGGGCATCAGATATTTTGTCTCAGCGAGAGCAAAAAGTAACTAAGACAGAAGTCAGTGAGTCAAGTATCCTCCCTTCTCAACTCCATTCTACCCTCTGTCTTTCTCTATTTTTTTTCTTATTACTCTGAACTGGAAAGACAGGAAGTGCAACTCTACAGGTTAATGTATAGGTAGCAATGGGTACCTCCCACCCTGTACTGGGGATTAAATCCAAGGTCTTTGCAATGAGATACAATCCTTTCTTTAATTTGGAGGTGGGGTCTTGTTAAGTGGCTAATTTGTCCTGGTTAGACTTAAACTTTGATCCTCCTGCCTTAGCCTGCTGGAGTGGGAGGCCTGGCATGGGGATGTTTTTGTACAACATCTTTGTATTCATTTTGTAAAGACAAAAAGAAAACTAACTTTTTGCTCTTATAGAGACATGCTATGCTTCAGTTTCTTTGAGAAAAGATACTTTTTATTAAAATTTGGGTTTAATTATGAATGATATTCTGAAAATAGCAACACTTCTGAAAATAGCAACAAGTTACTAATAACAAAGAAAACTGAGGTGCTAAAGGATTCTATTCCAATTGTCACCACTGGTGCTGTCGGGTATGATAGAGGGCAAAGGAAAACTTAGAAAACAGCTCATCTCCAAGAGAATGCACCTGGGTAATGCCACAACCTGCCTCTAGATTTTCCTCAGCTACTACACTCTGAGATTGCTCCTTAATTTTGGAGAGGTGTGAAAAAAAGTCAAGTCTGATTATGTTTTCAAAAATCAACAAAGTACTCAAGATGC